ACTCCATGGAAATCCCTGTTCCATGGCCATTTCTGGTCCTAGACTGTCCCCAGTACCACAGCTATCTCTGGTCCCATGGCTATCTCCATCCTATGGCCATCCCTGCTCCAAGACCATCCCTGGTCCCAGGGACATTTCTGTTCCCACGACCATCCCTGGTCCCATGGCTGTCCCCATCCTAGAGCCATCTCTGGTCCCATGGTCAGCTCCATCCCATGGCCATCCCTGGTCCCACACCTGTCTCCATCCTATGGCCATCCCTGATCCTACGAACATCTCCATCCCATGGCTATTTCCATCCATCCTATGGCCATCCCTGGTCCAAGAGCATCTCAGTTCCCATGGCCATCCCTGGTTCCATGGTTGTCTCCACCCTCCAGTCATCTCTTGCCTCATGGCCATCCAAGTCCCACAACCATTCCAGGTCCCATGACCATCCCAGATTCCACAGCCATCCCCATCCCACAGCCATCTCCATCCCACAGCCATCACTGGTCCCATGGCCATTGCTGGTCCTACGACCATCCCTATTCCACGGTCATCCCTGGTCCCACACCCACCTCCAACCCATGGCCATCTCCATCCCATGGCCATCCATAGTCCTACAGCCATCCTCATCCCATGGTCATCTCCAACCCATGGCCATCTCCATCCCATGGCCATCCATATTCTTACAGCCATCCCCATCCCATGGCCATCTCCAACCCATGGCTATCCCCATCCCATGCTGGCACCCTCCCCTTTGCTCTTCAGGAAGGGGAGGTATGTGGTGAGGGTAGGCAAGGGGAGGCCAATACCTGGGTGAGCCCTGAGGCTTTCAGCAGCTCCTGGGGCGATCGACTGCCGAAGTAGATCTGGCTGGGGGGACGCAGGCTGAGGATGCAGGAGTAGACCTTGTTCCTCACCTAGAGGGACAGGGGGAAGGATGTGAAGTGGCCACTCCTGGGTAATACTGTGGACCTTTGGGGGCTCGGGGTTGCAGGGAAGGGGTGCCCCCACCTTTTTCTTGAAGTTGAGGAAGTAGTTGGCCTGGTCGATGAAGAAGAGCTCGAGCGCGGAGCGGCGCAGGTTGTAGCGGCGCAGGTGAACCTCGCGCAGGTGGGACAAGGGGCGCTTGAAGTCGTAGCCAATCCCTGTTGAGATGGGGGGGGACACAGAGCCCCTGTGGGTGTCACCATTCACCCAGATCCCCATTCCCAAGGCAGGGATGGGGGCCAGCATCACCCTGAGGCTGGGAGGAGCCCACTGCCAAAACAACCAGGACCTGGCATGATGGGCTTCTGGTGGAGATGGGATGGGTGAGGGGTTCCTTGAGACCCCCCAAGGAGCACGTTACCTCCTTCCGTCTCCTCCTTCTCGCTGCTGCCATCATAGAAGTAGACGTGCTGGGTTGTCACCTCCAGGCGGCCGGGGACGACGGCCACCGTCGTGATGAGCTCGCAGTCCTCCGAAACCACCAGCTTCTCCCGCTGGTTCTGCTCCTTGGGCTCAGCCCTGGGTGACACAAGGGGGTGAGGAGATTCTGGTGACACCCCCAGCTTGGCGGAGCCAGTGTCATGGCAGGGGATGGGGACACTCACTGGTTGTCCAGTACAGGGAGGTCCTCCTCGGCCAGTTGGTCATCTTCCAGCTCGCTCACCTTGGCCTCCTTGGCCATGGCAAGTGGGAGAGACTCGGTGGGGTTGTGGAGGTGGTCGGCTCCTGAAATGAGGAGGGGGTCAGCAGCCCACTCTGGCCACCCCACAGCTGGAGGACAAGGTCTGTGAAGGGTCCCCAGCCCCAACAGGGTCCATGACAGCTCCCATTCGTCTCACCCAGGTTGTCCCGTAGGGCGCTGGCCTCCAAATGTTGGTCAAAATTCAGGTTGGGTACCAACTTCAGCCTCATCCGGGAGTAGGTTTCGGCACTTGACAGCTTCCAGCGAACTTCTGCTGGGTTCCTGAGGGAGACAGGGGGAATAAGGCACCCTGAGGACCCCCAGCCATGCCACCCTTCCCTGGGGATGGAGGTGGATGCTCACCGGTCAGCCCAGGCGGAGCGGGGCGAGGTGAGGAGGCGGCACAGGGACCGCCACTGCTTGAGCACGGTGCTGTGGTGGTTGTTGGCCTGCTTAAGCACGTTGGCGTGCCGGGTGTTCTCCGCCTTGGCGCGCTTTGCCACTGGCTCCAGCACCAGCTCCTGCCGAGGGAGCAGGAGAGTGAAGCGACAGCAGGGCTGGGGCTTGGGGACATCCCTGAGGCGAGGAATATGTCCATGGGGTGACATCCCCAAGGTAAGGAGAACATCCCCAGGGTTGTGTCCTTGGGGTGAGAAGCACATCCCTGGGATGAGGTTCCTGGGATGAGGAGCACATCCCCAGAACTATGTCCCCAGGATGAGGAGCACATCCTGAGGGCAATATCCCCAGGGTAACGGGCACGTTCCCTAGGATGACATCCCTGGGATGAAGAGCATGTCCCCAGGATTAATGTCCTCAGGGTGAGGAGTGTGTCCCTAGGATGGCATCCCCAGAGCGGGGAGCATGTCCTCAGGGTGATATCCTTGGGGTAGGGAGCATGTGGTCAGGGTGAGGACCACATCCCTGGAAAGATGATTCTGGGATGATGAGAACATCTCTGGGATGATGCCTCCAGCATGAGGAGCAAGTTCTCAGCATGAGGAGAACTTCTCCAGTGTGACAGCCTTGGGATGACAATTACATCCTTAGGATGATGTCCCCAGGATGAGAAGCATGTCTCAATGGAAGTACCCCCAGGGTGAGGAGGATGTCCCCAGGATGAAGAACAAATCCCAAGGATTAATGTTCCTAGAGTGAAGGGTATATCCCTGGGGTGAGGACCACATCCCTAGGATGACATCCTTGGGGTGAGGAGCACATCCTGAGGACGATGTCCCCAGGATGAAAAGCACATCCTGAGGACAATATCCCCAGGGTGAGGGGGATCTCCCCAGGATGACATCCTTGGAGTGAAGAGCACATCCCCAGGACGACATCCCCAGGATGAGGAGCACATCCTGAGGACGATGTCCCCAGGATGAGGAGCGCATCCCCACAGTGACATCCACAAGGCAAGAAGCAGGCAGTACCTGGAACATCTTGCGGCTGGCTGCCTTCTCCTGTTCCCGCCGCTGGGAGCTGCTCATCATGGCATCGTAGCAGGCGTTCCAGAAATTGGACATGTGGTCGTGGCTCTTGGCGAAGGTGTCCATCTCAAACTGGGCCATGGTGGGCTGCACCTACAGAGCATACCAGGATAAGAAGAGAGGCATTTGCAGGGCTTGGCACCCATCAACCACCATCCAGGCTATCAGCATTGCCCCTCTGGAGGTCACTCCAACCTGGTGGTGACACGGGAAACCCGCTGCAGCATTGGACCCGTCTCTAAGCCTGGGAAGAGGTTCCCCCAAGGGTGACCCTATGCCCTGCGACACCCACGTGCTTCTCGATGAAGCCCCTCCACTCCGGGGTAGTGCAGAAGAGCTGGAAGTCCTCATAGAAAGTGGGGCTGCCGTTGGTGGGGGGCAGCGAGGGCAGGAAGAGCTGCAGCTGCAGGGTCTCATAGCACTGATCCATGAGTGTCCGGACAATGGGGACCAACCAGGAGAAGGTCTCCGATTTGGTGTCCAGCGAGCGTCGCAGTGGGGTCTCCAGCTTGCCCAGCAGGTAGCAAGCCTCATCCTTTTTGGGGGCTGAGGCAGTCTGCAGCAGGCTGTGCAGCTTCACATAGGCCAGTGAATGCAGCTGGAGGGGACATCGGACATCAAATGGGGCCACCAGCCCTACCCCAAGGACTGGGGTTCAGCCCCAGGAAGGGTTGACCCACCTGGGGGTCCTGCAGCATGATGTAGCCCACGAGGATGCGTAGACCCGTTTGGGCCATCTCCTTGAGGTCGGAGGTGCCGTTGGCCAGGTGGTACCAGACGCCCAGTTTGTCCAGCAGACTGCTCACCCCCTCGTAGATCTGGGGGGGCACAGTGAGCCCCCAGCCCAGCCAAGCACCCCCCACCCGTCCAGCCAGCCAGGCACAAAGCCACAAGGTCTGTCCCCATCACCCAGCCACCCTCAGCTTTGCTTGACACAGGTTTGGGTTATGGGTAGGGGTTAGGATTAGGATTTAGGGGTACGGTAGAGCTCCAACTCATTACCTTAATGACAAACTCGTTAGGGTTTGCATGGGGTTTATGGGTCAGGGTTTAGGGTTTGGGTTTATGATCAGGTTGTAGAGTTAGGGTTAAGGGTTGGGACTGGGGCTAGGGTTAGAGTAGAGGATTGGGGTTGGTGTTGAGGTTTATGGCAAGGATGTAGGGTTAAGGTTTAGGATTAGGATTTAGGAGATAGGGTAATGAGTTAATTATGGTTTAGGGTTAAGACTTAGGGTATAGGGGTAGGGTTTTGGGTTTACAGTAAGGGTGTAAGGTTAAGGTTAAAGTTTAGGTTTAGGGGTTAGGGTTTAGGATCAGGGTTAAGTTTCACACTAAGATTGTAGGGTTAGGGTTTACAGTAAGGGTTAGGGTTAGATTTACAGGTTATAAGTTAGGGATAGGGTTTAGGTTTAGATCTTAGCATACAAGATTAGAATATAGGGTTAGGTTTACAGTAAAGTTGTAGGACTAGGGTTAAGGGTATAGGATTAGGGTTAGGTCTAGGGTATAGGATTGGGGCTAGGGTTGAGATTTACTGCAAGGATGTAGGGTTTAGAATTTGAATTTAGGAGGTACAGCCAGATTACACAATACGAGTTAAAGTTAGACTTGGGATTTTGGTTTACAGTAAGAGTTAGAGTTAAGGGTTAAGAACATGGGTAAGGGTTGGGGTTTATCACAAAGATGTAGGGTTAATGTTTAGGATTAGGATTTAGGAGGCATGGTTAGATTTATAGGTTATGAGGTTACAGTTTAGGGTTAGGGTTTAGGGTACAGGGCTATGGGGTTGGATTTATGTTAAGGCTGTAGGGTTAAGGTTAAAGTTTAAGGGTTAAGGTTTAAAATCAGGGCTAGGGTTTACAGAAAGAGGGTAGAGTTAGGGTTAGACTTACAGTTGACAAGTTAGGGATAGGGTTTATGGTTAGATCTTAGCATATAGGATTAGAGGACTGGATTTGGGTATATGGTAAGGCTGTAGGATTGGAGTTAAGGGTTAGGATTAGAGGTTAGGGCTAGGATACAGTATTGGTCTTCATAGCAAGGGTGCAGGGTTAGTGTTAAGACTTAGGGTTTGAGTTGGGGTTTATGGCAAGGGCATAAGGCTAGGGCTGAGGTTTTGGGTTAGGTTTAGGGGTTAGGGTTGGATTTACTGGTTATGGGTTTGGGTTATGGTTTAGGATTAATGCATGGGTTATTTTCTAAGGTTAGGTTCAAGGGTTGCAGGTAGGGGCAGGGTTTAGGGATAGGGCTAGGAGTTAGGGTTCAGAGTTTGGGTTTGGGATCAGGAACCCCCGCTCATGCTCCTTCACCTTCTCACTCCACAGGGCCTGGTTGTTGTGTCCCTCGGAGAACAAGAAGTCCTGGAGCAATCGCAGCAGCTTGAGGGCATTGTGGGTGAGACCAGGTGAGGCAGCTGGTCCCGACTCCTTCAGGTCCGTCAATGCTGACTCCAGCATCATCTCCAGGAGGCTGTGGGAAAAGAGATGGCTCCATGGAGTGGTCCTCCCTTGGGGTGCACCCCACCAGACCCCACTCTGGACCTGCACGGGACTCACCTGCGCTTGATCTCATCGGGGGGCCGCACCAGCTCGCCCGCCGTCCCCAGCTTGGTGAGGACAGAGAAGACCTGTCCACGCTCTCTCCATGCCATGTCGTCCCAGCCCTCCACCCCACGCCAGGTCACCGAGAAGACGATGTTGGTCAAGAGGTTGCACAGCTCCTCCTCGGGCGTTTGCTGCCAATGGAGAGGATGGGTGAGTGATCCGGTGTCTGGCGTAGCCCAGAGTGGTAGGCACAATGGTTTGGGGCTTACCTGGGGGTTGCTGGTGTTGGAGATGTTGTCACTGGGCAGTGCATCTTGGTAGCTGTTCTCATCCAGGACATTGGAGAGGCTGGAGCTCTTGCGTGCTCGCATCCCGGGGAAGGGCTTGAAGCTCTCCAAGGGTGAGGGGGTGCCTGGGCCGCTGGCTGGGGTCTGTGTGCCGCTCTCGGCCGTGGCGATGGAGCTGGTGCTGGCCAGGTCGAGTCCCAGGTCAAAGGGTGAGGTGGAGAAGGGCGAGAGCGGGTGGTAGACACCATCAAAGGGAGGACCATCACCGGGGTTGGAAGACGAGCGGCTGGCCCGGTCAGAGGAGTCAAAAGACTTGAAGTTGTAGGAGTGGAAGGACTTGATGCGGCTG